CACCGTCCACTTCCCGGCCCGGCGCCGGTTTAGAGCAGCCAAAATTAGCGCAGCCGTCCAGCCGCGACGCCCCTCGTTTACGATTCTCTACAATTCGCGGACATAGAAAAAAAAAACGATGATTTGAGACCACCTCCGAAGGTGGTCTCAAAAAGTGTCAGCCCGCGGCCCCGCAGGCCACTAACAAAAGGGTCACCATTTGACTCATTTGGGTAGCGAGCCTCTCCAGTGTGACCCGAAAAATGACTCAAATTTTGGGATCTTGGGTCTTTTGGTCCTCGTGTGAGTATGAGGCTCGCCACACAGGCTGTCAAAAACCCGGTTTTCGTCAATTTTGCATCGCCACACATACTTTCGAAGAATTGCGACTCAAAAAACTTTCGACAGGTGTCAGGCTTTCGACAGCTGCCCTTCAGCAACCATTTCCTCCAGCCTGCAGGTGACGAAAATTCGACAGTGGCCCGCCCACCTTTCGAAAAACGCCTCTGATTTTCCATTGTCAACGACTGCTCCCTGACAACGATGGCCTGTTTGTCCGAATGTAGTCAACAGTGGCTGTCGAAAACGACGTCTGCATCAGGTCCGCTTGCGTGCACAAATTCATCCATGTAACAACTCCCGACAGCCGACCGCCTTCGCCACATAGCACCTGTCGAAAGGCTGAGTCGACTTGGCAACTTTCGACAACCTCGCCCCTCGACAGGCTATGTGGCGAAGGGGGGCGAAATTGGCGACGGCCGGACTGTCGAAAATTTTCTGACACCTGTCGAAAATTTTCGACATTCGACAGCCTGTGTGGCGAGCCTCTGGGCCACACTCCACTACTCTATACTCTCGAGATTTCGAGAGTAAGGCCTCGCTCCACTCACTCTAGATAGGTGCTCTCGAAAACGCCCTTCGAGAGCTGTCAGAAAGCACTCTCGAAGAGCACTCTCGAAGTGTCTAGAGTGCCCAGCCTGCGATGACATGCTTTTCCAGTGTCCTCCCTCGTACCCCCGCTCCAACCATTTTTATTCGAGAGTGCACCTCGTGTCCCGACCATCAGAACAGGGCGGCGCTGTCTTTTAGTGCAGTCAGAGAGCTCGTCTCATTCCGCCACTGCATCTTGAGCAAACCCATCTAGAGTAAGGGCCTCGCTCCACTACTCTATACTCTCGAAATTTCGAGAGCAAGGCCTCGCTCCACTCACTCTAGATAGGTGCTCTCGAAAACGTCCTTCGAGAGCTGTCAGAAAGCACTCTCAAACGGCACTCTCGAAGTGTCTAGAGTGCCCAGCCTGCGACGACATGCTTTTCCAGTGTCCTCTGTCGCTCCGACCATTTTTTCCACATAGCCTCCCGAAAAAAAAACCCTCGGATGTCTTCGAGAGCTGTCAGAACGCCGGTTTCGAGGGCCCTCTCGAAACGATGTTTGAGCCCAGCCTGCAGCTTCGGGGTTTTCCTAATGCCGCCCGTCGGTGCTGGAGTTCGTGGTCCATTTCGAGAGATGTCAGGCCATTTTGGACGGTAGTGCGCTGAAGGAGAGCAGCGCAATCTCGAAAGCAACTCTCGAAAACGCACCTTCTTAGGGCACGCTCACACTGGGTACCAAAACCGTAAACCTCCCCAAAAAATGTGCACACAGCTGGTCACACACAATGGTTCTGACCCCAGACACCCCATTCGCAAACCCATTTGTCAGCGGTCTGCCTGGCCGCGGGTTTGAGGAATTTGCGGTAACCTCCAGAGGTTACCGCAAAATCCTTATTTTTTATTTTATTTTAATTTTCGTAAATGAATGCAAAGTTGAAAATGGAACATGTACGTTCTATATTTGGGGTTACTTCTGTGTGACTGGAAACCCCAAACAGCAGCACCCTGATGGCACGGTAGTGACCGTGTCTTTAGCGAAATGGGAACGCGGTGTGAACGCAGTGTGACCTGAAACGTCCCAAATACCCCAATTCGGCCCAACCCATTTTCGCAATTTATACGGATGTGCTACCGCAGTGTGAGCGTGCCCTTAGAGAGACGGAAGGTGCCGGACACGCTTCCAATTTGAGAGTTGGCTCTGCCACATAGCACTACCGAATCTGGCCGCGGGGAGATCCACGTTTGAGAGAAAAATTCCGGGTGTGCTATGTGGCCAAGGGCCTTTTTCTCTCGAAAACCGCCCTCTCGAAAAGTTCTGACAGCCCTCGAATTTTTTCGAGATTCGGGAGTGGTGTGGCGAGCACCACAGTCGAAAGGCGAAAAAATCCAACGGTTGTCAGAACAAATTTGACAGCCTCCATTCGACAATTTGACCCCCTTTAGCCACACATCACTGTAGAGTGCACGCACTTGTGAATGCAAGATGGAAAAAGACGAACGCGGCAGAGGGTACAACAAGCATTAGTCCATCCCGAATTTCGAAGAGAAGTCGACGGCACAGCCGAGGAGTGTCGAAAGCATTAGGGCATCGCCACACCACTCTCGAAATGTGCAAAATGAGAACGTACTTCGTGCTAGAGCATGGCCAGATGCGCCCACCCCTTTTTTGTCTTTTCTGCTTTTCGAGAGTGGTGTGGCGAGGCCCTTAGAGTAGCAGGCTGGGGATTGAACAACTTTCGACAGGAGGTGTCGAGAAGCATGCTCTGACAACTGGCGAGTTTTTTTCCCGTCTCCGACTTCGACAACCTGTGTGGCGAAGAGAAACTGTCGAAAAGTGCATTTTCGACAGTGGTGCAGCGAGGTCCTAAGAGGCTCGCCACACAGGGTGTCGAATGTCGAAAATTTTCGACAGGTGTCAGTAATTTTTTGACAGCCCAGGGCTCGACAATTTCGCCCCCTATCGCCACACAGCCTGTCGAGAGGCAAAATTGTCAAAAGTAGGCAAGTCTACACCGCCTTTCGACAGGTGCTGTGTGGCGAAGGCGGTGGATTGTCGGGAGTTATTACACATATGAATTTGTCCACACAACCGGACCAGATGCAGATGCCATTTTCGACAGCCACTGTCGACTACATACGGACAAACAGGCCACGGCTGTCAGGGAGCAGTCTCTGCCAATGCAAATTTGAACGCAATTTTCGAATGCCCGGCGGTGGACTGGCGAATTTCCTTGAGCTGCAGGCGGGAGGAAACGGTTGCTGGAGGGCGGCTGTCGAAAGGACCATTCTGACACCTGTCGAAAGTTTTTTGAGCCGCAATTCTTCGAAAGTCTGTGTTGCGATGCAAAATTGTCGAAAACCCTGTTTTCGACAGCCTGTGTGGCGAGCCTCTTAGAGGCTCGCCACACAGGCTGTCGAAAATCGAAATTCTTCAACAGCTGTCAGGGATTTTTTGACAGTCACGTTCGACAATTTTCCCCCCTATGGCCACACAGGCTGTCGAAAGGGCGTGGCTGTAGAGATTGGCAAGTCGACGCCCCCTTTCGACAGGTCCTGTGTGGCGATGCGAGCGGCCTGGGGTAATTTCGAAAGGGCCACGTTTGTCAGTTGGTAGTGCCTGAAGTGAAAAAAGCAAGCGTTTCTCGACAGCTCCCAGGAGCACTGTCGAGAAACTGTGCACCGCAGGTGGGCGGAAACTCGTTCAACATGGCGGCTGTCGAAAGAGGAAGTCTGACACTTGTCGAAATTTTTTTGCGACGAAATTCTCGACAGTCTGTGTGGCGACGAGAAACTGTGGAATGTGGCGAGCCTCTAAGGGTCTGATCCCACCACTACACTACAGCCCAGTTACACTGTAGTTTTGGGATCCCACAGCGTGTTACACTGTAGTTTCGGGATCCCACCACTACACTACGGTTGTGGAGTTCGCCAAAATATTTTGCACGCATTTCGTGTCGGAATGTCGTGGCAGCACTCCCGCGAAGGGCTCGAGCAAAGTTACTACATTTTTTGTGTAGACGGTTTGGGCACAACGGCCGCGAAAAAGAGGGAACATTTTTTTTTTGTGTATTTTTTTTTTCAGTTGTCCGTCCAGCCTGTTAGGAACGTCCGAGGTCCACATGCATGTCTGGCGGTACAACGGAAATGTCCGCCCTAAAAATGCAGCCCATGGAAAGTCGCCGCGGGTCCAGGAAAACCACCTAGGAAGTCGGTGTCGTCGGATCCGCTTTCTGTAGCCGGGCCCATAGCTGACGCTGACACTATTGTAGTGCTTCTTTCTGTAGCCGGGCCCGTAGCTGACTCTGACACTATTGTAGTGCTTTTTCGTCACTACTTGCGTAGTGTAGTGGTGGGATCAGACCCTAAGTGGAGCCAAGACTTTTTCTTCGAGAGTTTTGCACGTCTGACAGCTCTGGAAGGACTCACGAAACTTTTCGTGAGTCGAGAGTAGTGAAGCGAGACCCTGAGGGCATCGCCACACCACTCTCGAAATGTGCAAAATGAGAATGAACTTCCCGCTATAACATGGCCAGATGCCCCCGCCACATTTTTGTCCGTTTCACATTTCGAGAGTCGTGTGGCGAGGCCCTGACCACGTTTTCTTGCTGATCGGCCAGGGGATGTGAATTCGTTCCGGCGGTGAATTGGATGTTTCCGGCTACACGGGAGGACTGGAGAGGGGGGGCCACCTGTGAACTCTCCTCTGGCGGTGAATGTGTTCGAGCGGTGAATTGGATTTTTGGGTTACGCGGGAGCAGGACTGGCGAGGCGAGGATCTGTGAACTCGATAGAGGGAAGCAGACCTGGATTTGGGAGAGGGGGGGATTATACATAAAGCATACCTCACTTAACATAAATCCACATGAACATCAACGACATAAACGCAACACAAAGGAGGAGTGGAAGGGGAGGAAGCAGAGAAGAAGAAAGACAAAAGGGAGCCCGCACGACAGGTTGAAGAAAAATTTGCACCTCGCACGTGCTAGGAGTTATAAGGCGTTGATCTTTATGATCTACGATCTACGGCCGGTATCTCCTAATCCGTATGAGTGGGACATCGACCCAGGGAGGGAGAGGCGCAGAATTATATGCNCGTTGATCTTTATGATCTACGATCTACGGCCGGTATCTCCTAATCCGTATGAGTGGGACATCGACCCAGGGAGGGAGAGGCGCAGAATTATATGCTAAGCAGTGAAAGGGCACTGCGGGTACCTAGCTGGCAAGAGAGAGAGAGAGAGAGAGAGAGAGAGAGAGAGAGAGATGGCGACAAATAAACCTCAAGAAGGAACTGCTGAAGAGGACTATGGCGTCGAGATGATGGTCTCCATGGAGGCGGAAAGAGGAGGAAGCGGAGGAGGAGGGGAGGAGAACAACAAGGGGGTCGATCAGGGGGAAGAGGAGGGCGTGGCCGCTCTTCCCGCCGCTTCCAGAGTCGAAGACGACGAGGAAGTCGACAGGGGCCTCGCCACAAGGATGTTGGGAGGAGTGAAGCAGGGAGTAGAGGCGGCTGCAGTTGCGAATGAAGTGGGGAGTGGAAGCGGTCGTGCCGCCGGTGGGAAGAATTCCCCGGCTACTGGTAACAAGAAAGGCCTGCGAAATTCGTGCGGTCCGCAAAGCCCTTGTGTCGGACTAGTGTATGATGAGCGCATGACTGCACATTTCGATCCAACCTGTCCTACACATCCAGAACGACCGGGGAGGATCACGCACACGTATCGCCGGCTGGTGCAGAAGGGGTTAGCGCGGAGGTAGCATCTCTCTCTCTCTCTCTCTCTCTCTCTCTCTCTCTCTCTCTCTCTCTCTCTCTCTCTCT